TTGGGATTAAAACATAGGGCTTCAGGCTTTGAAGTGTCAGTAGCTAGTAGTATTGGTTTTTTCACGTGATGGGTTTACTGGTCTGAAGCTCAACCTCCCACCTTTTTTGGTTTACTTACGGTTTGTAAACTAGGCAGGAGGTTTAGAAATTGAAAATTCCATTAGCCTTTATTTTCCACTAACACCCCGATTCAATATTTTCGGCTTCTGTTTCATCATTCTGTTGGTATTCAGGCTGCAAGAGGCAACCAACTGGGCAACAATTTAAAATGCGTTAGGTTATGCTTATGCACTTATTCTAACGTTTGGGGAGAATTACGTAATAGCAATCTAGATGATTCCAGGCAGGACTCGCTTTATTTTTTTAAATTTATTTATTTTTTATATTTTTGATTACAGCTTGATTCCATACCGTATTTTTGGTACAAGTATGGAATTTTCAGCATGTGATATCGGTAGCCCAAATTTCGCAGGCCGACCATAGATATCAGGTGTGCGTCGGCGTTGGCTCGAACCCCGGACCATGTGCATGGTCGGCGAGATTCCTAACCACTGTGCCACCGACTGTGTTTTGTGTGTGTGTGTGTGTGTGTGTGGCTTCTTAGTTATTTTTGTGTGTTGTCGCCTCTTACAGAGAAAACATTTTTCTCCTACTACCTACCTATCCTTTGTTGCATAATCACTTATTCTGGGCTTTTTCCTTATCTAATTTCGTAATACTGCTGCTTTTTGTATACTTTTGCTTATACCCTACATATAAGCAACAGTAAAACAGCCTTTCAATATAATCACTAAAAAATAGACTTTCTGAACATTGTATTCAACAAACTAATTACATGAATAAGAAGCGTTACATAGAAATATTATTCGCAGCTCACCACACAGTACAGTGACGTATGCGAGATCACGAGACTCGTGGTCAATATGAAAAAAATCTGTGCTAATTCCTGATTCAAAAGTAGGTTAGAAAGTGATCTTGAGTTTTCATCAATCATTCCTCTAACTTAAGACTAGTTGAAAACACAATCTTGGTACTGCAGTTTTGAAATATGCTGTCGTAGACGATGAAGGCAGGCTATCATTACTGGTGTTAATATTATTAGTCCGTTGGGTGCCGAGTGGAACATTCTACTTCTTTATCTACTATCTTTATTTCACTCTCTGTTATGCAGTTTGTTTGAACATCGCCTGACAATTGTCGATAGGCCTTTTATTTCCTCCCTACCCAACTACCTCTATATCCTTAGTTGTTTTGTAGCTAGATTTTCTTGTTCATTATCCTTTTTGGCCAGCCGTCTGCTGTTCAGTATCGAACAAACGCAACTGTTGACGGAGGCCTGCAGTAGCATGTTAGAAATGGTTTTCTGTAACACGTTCGCCAAGTCATTGAGCAATATAGAAACACTGACTGATTTGATATTAGTATTAAAAATCCGGATCTTGTTCTTTATACTGGGTGCAGCGGATTTCCACACTGATTTCAGAGTAATCAACGTCTGTCTTACTCCTCCAGTTCGGTTTTCGCCATCCTCATCTATACCAGCACCTGTGGTTGAAATGATGCTGCCTAGATAATTGGAAGAGTTGACCTTGGGATTTCTTCTGTTGTTAGTGGTTACTTCTTGCTGTTTTTGTTAGTCGGGTATATTCATCACCTCTGTCTTCTCTATTTTTACCTGAAGTTGTATCTTTTCTGCCTCTTCTACCAACTTCTGGGTTCTGCCTTTGGATTGTTCAGTTTGTATGAAATCAAATATAAATCATGCATGAGGTCCAGATCTTCTTTAACCTTCTTGTCTATCCGAAGTATGTCTGCCTTCTCGTACTCTACGATTTGTTGCATGTTACAGTCCACTACAACCAGGAATATCATCGATGATGTCTTATTCTTATATTCACGTCAAGTGCTTTGATGAGCCTTCCACAATGGATCACTTGACATTTAGCATCATCCTTTAGCTACTGATTGAGGTTGATGGGAGCTTGGGTTACTGCTTAGTCTTAAAGTACAGCTTCTGAATTACTTCACAACCGACGTATGAATGAATATTTACAAACATTAGTTCACTTACATAAAAATCTTTGCTTTTGAATGACTTTAGCAACATGGATTATATCTCAAGCTCTCTGAAATCTCGCTGGTCTTTTAAAAGCTTGACTATGTTAGGATTAGTGTGATGATTTTTATGGTCGATGTCCGAACTTAGTTATCCGATACCTCCGAGCTATGAGTCACCCTTATTATGTATGGTTAAGAGCTAATAATACTGACGAGTTGTTCCACGCTGAATCAAGTTAAGCAGATTAACTGACGTAGTTACATAGTTGCGTTTAGTTATCACTGTTATTATTATTGTTTTTGTCAGTTGAATTACTCCTTTTATCAAGAGCCCACTGTATGCCTGATAAAAGCGGGTGTAGAATTTAGAAGGCGTAGTGATGATAAAGATAGATCACCCTAACAGCTAAAACATCCACTTATATCATAAACTCGTTTACACTTTCTCCTTACCTGACTACAGAGGAAGGTACCTCATTGATTGTTTATTATTTGTATTAGTGGTGTTCGTTTTGTGTACATAACAGTGTTGTCCCCAACTTGTTAGCTTTTAAGAGGCGCATACATAATAAAGGTATGAGTAACTTTGATAATGAAAAGAATGAGAATATTATCTACTGCTATACAGAATTTTGAAAATATTGTGACATCAAGTGCTTTCAACTGTTTTGTCCTGAGTAAGCACAGTATTCTACATCAAAGTTTCTGGTCCCGTCCAGCATTTGTAGTTTCATGTCATTGTCAGTTTTTTCTGTTTTGTTTTAAACACGCCGACCTGTATTCACAGTTACATCATACAACTCAGTGTTGTTGGTTTAGTCAGTTAGAACTCAGTTATACGAACTGTACGCCGCTATTGTTATGTGTGTGGGCTAATTATACTATCCAGTTGGCCAGGTTGAGTTATGTAGGTGGAACGAGATTCGAATCCCTTGCTATTCATTTCGCATCAGAGGGGATTTCATCGCTAACCAGTATCATTCACAGAACCATTATCAAGTAAATCTGGGGAGTGTTTAACAACTATACCGTCTTACTTTGGGCCTTTCACTGCCGCTCATTCATGAATTCACTTGGAATTCTAACCCCCCCCCCCCGCCCCCCAGGAATATGAAATGAACGCGTTAACACTTAGTCACTGAGTCAAAATCCAGTGATCCAGTGATTATAACTTGTGGCAAATAGCGATAAGTCGCGAAAATTTCAGGTCTTTGGTTCAACTATTTAAGGGATCATGTTTTCTCTCACTACTGAGGGGAATCTCAAATACTAAAGGAGACAACTGTTCACCTATATGGATCCATGATCATAATATCTACTTTGAAAATCAATAGAATTCTCACTCCACTCCGCTTAGAAAAGAAATCTAAACTTGAAGATAATGAAGCAGCTTGTTGTCAGTCTTTGTTTTGCCCGAAAAACATAATTTTTTAATATGTAACTGTAAATTTCCTTATTAGATAAAGACACCCTCTTTTTCACTCTGTATTTGGTCGAGAGAAAAAATGGAAAGAATATATTCTTCTTTTTTCTCGCCTACTACTGGTATATACACTTTGTAATCTTTTTCTCGATTGTTTTTAAAGAAACGAAAATGAAATCCTGACTACTGCCCATATAGAGTCGTCCCTACTAAATATTCGTGTTTTATTATCTGACCATCAGTCACAGTATGGAAATTCTCCTGTAAATAAATAACAACATTTTTAGGCTGTGTTCAAAATTTTTTCATGCACTGACATCAGAGGGAAATTCTGGGAAATACAATGTCCTGCGTTTTTTGTCTTTCAAAAAGTTTCACTACTGTTCACATTAAAGGAGCCCAGTAATGAACTGAACTTTGTACCGCCTTGTTTCACGTAAGAATATATAGCACAATCATCATCTGATTCATAAGCTGGTGTGTTTTGCCTCTGCCTACCTGAAAACCTGACTGTCTTTAGTTCTGTCCAATCAGTAAGCTTTTATTTTGTCTGCTGATGGTGAATAGGCGTCAGCTAATAAGTTTGACTGACTGACTGGTGTGAACTTAAAATTTTGCACCAGTACACAGCAGTTCGAGTCACCATACTTCACTGAGCACACAAAGCAAGAGAAGAGAGTAAAAAGAGATTCGAAACGGAGATAATAAACAGAAATATGAGACAAAAATAATAGTTATGTGGAAGAACTACGTAGTTTTATTGGATGTTATAAGTCACAAGGAGTGGATGCATCTGCGTCAATGAGAACTATTTTGAGCCATATCACCAATTGTCTCCTGCCTTCATTGGTTTTTACCGTCCCGAGGACCCCAACCAGGAAGCCTACACCTTCTTACGTGTCTGAAACTAATTGCTGTGGATTTCATACATTTGATTCCCCTGATAAATTTCGATAGAGAAAGATAGACCAGATTTGCAGTACAAAATGATATTATTCTATTTCATTGACTGGTGCCTTGTTTTGGTTTGACCGCCACTGTCTCTTTTCCAATAAATTAAATGTAACGTAGATATTTAACACATATGATTGGTTGATTACAGTTTGATGACCTCTAGGCTAATCGACTGATTATAGCTTTTGATAAACTGAACTGAAATCATTTGAGTTATCCACGTAGAACTATGCATAAAAGCATAGCAGTTCAAATTGTCATGTTTTGGTAGAACCACATACACAAATGTGAAGTGAACTCGGTTTTTTAAACTGTCTTAGTTGTTGAAGCGAGGGTTTAACTTTTGATTGTATGATCGGGCTGATCTGTCATATCACTGATACGAATTAAGCTCTGTCAAAAACAGTAACAGCCTGTTGTTAAACTATCTCCCTTTTACTTCCATTATGGATAAATTTTGTTTTGATAAAATCTCACAGTGTTATACAGTAATGTTTACTGATATTTTATTCTTATATCTCCCTTTTAAAATAAGTGTATTTTGTTTTTGCTTTTTTTTCTAAGGTTTGGCATTTAACCTGTCTTTCGAATGAGTGGTGGTGGAACTGGTGGTGCCTCTAGTGGTGGTGGTAGTGGCGGCGGTGGTGGTTCTGGTCGGGCACATTTCCGTAGTCAATTAGGCTGTTGTATATGCGGGACAAAATCATCATCTTCACGTTTTACTGCTAGTCAGAGATATGCTGAACACTTTGGGACATGTTTTGGTCCACAGGCTGCTACACGTTCAGGTGATTTGTGCAATGCATGTGTACTGTGTGTTAAGCGATGGCTTCAACGTGGGAAACACCCTAATTTCTTTATACAGGTTAGTGTGAAATTTGAGTATACTTTTTTTAGTGGAAAATTCTGGCCTGTTCTTGTGTTTCACTTGTGTTTAAACTTTTTAACTATATGATATCATTCGGGTGTGTACAGTGACATGTGTTTTGGTTTCTAGTCTTCTTCTGCGTCCTCTGTGGACAATAAGATAAACCCCATTGGGTTTCGAGTGTACCGTAGGCTTTCACTAGCACAACTTCATTTCATTCTGTTCACTGCATTCGTTTTTAAATGGCTGCATTACGATTGTTCATAGGTTTTCATTTCTTCGGTTTTACATAATCTCCTCCATGCCACCGTCGGACCGAAGCCCAACTCGCCGTTTCCCATTCAAGTTTCACTCGAGAGCCTTTTTGGTGTATAATATCACTCAGCTGTCTCCACAACGTATATGTACAATTCATTTTCATTTCTTTCCGTATATTTGTTTGATTTGATTGCTCCTATCATCAACATAGTCTCCTGGTATTGTAATATATTTATGTTGGATGGGAGATTTTTCTTCTACAGACGCACTTTTTGCTAATACCTATATGAATATTTTCATTATTTCTGTGTCTGTTTACTTGTATTAAAGCGTCTTATTCAACAATCAGTAAATATATTTTTTCAAACGTTGGTTCAGAGGGACTTGGTTGGTCTCAAGTTCGATCACGAACTGACTTGACTTACAAAACCATTAAAAATCGGAGAATGCTGAACATCTGTTTTCTCCTAGTTTGGGACTTTCAATGACGCCATCCACTACTAGGGATCGAATTCATGAAGTTATGTGGGATACTCGTTGACTATTCAGTCACTGGGATGGAATCCAGCCACTGTCATTGGTGAGTATCTGTCCTCACGTTCTATTTGGTGGACCCCATCGGCTACAACTTCCCACGAGAACTGTAACCAACTTCATCCTCTACTCAGTCACCAGTGAGCACTAGACATTGGTTGGCGGTCGCCCTATGTTTCTCGAAGGACACTTGCCGACCATGCACACGGTCCGGTGTTCGATCGCCGATCGACGCACACCTGGTATCAATGGTCGGCCTGCTCATGCTGAAAATTCCATACTTGTACAAAAAATACTATGTGGAGTCAAGCTATAATAAAAAAAAGTATATCTTTCTGTTTCTGTATTGTATGACATTAAAGAATTCGCTAAAGTTGGACTTTAAACATGAATTATTATTATGACTGTTTTTACCACCATTTTCATTGTTCAACATTTCAAGTCTTGTGTAGATTAGATATATTTTTGAATTGAATACCTGTATATCTTTTGTTTCTCTGTTGAAAATATTCAACCAGTAATTGAGATATAATGTGTTCAATATATCAGTTTTATATAATATTCTGAAACCCAGAATATCAATCTTGAGCATAATAGTGATTATATCATGACATTGTGACTGGTGACGTTTAACATGTCAGGGTGAAGCGGTTGCTCATCGATGGTATTGGTTGACTTCTTTCGTACATATATCTCAGGAAATGTCAGAAGTCATGAAATCACAGGTAATTGTATCTCAACTCCAGTAGTAGCTGAGTAATCAGCGATGCTGGCCTCATAACCTAAAGGTCTTGCGGTTTATGTGTGTGTGTGTCATGGGTGTACACTTCTGAAGAGTCTTAAATAATAATAATAAAGCTTTATTTCAGACAATATGTCAGCATACACTACAGAAATTTCAGCGTATTTAGCTTCGAAATATTTGCTTTTCATACAGAATTGACATATAAAGCAATATTCAAGTATTGGTTTTTGTAGGGATTTTGTTTGATTGCATGGAGGATTTAATCATGAGCTGACATCAGTTAGAGAACCACTGGAAAACCTGGGAGTACTGGACAGCCGTTTCGTCCTAGTTTGGGACTCCTCAGCAGTACGCACCCACCGGGATTCGAACCCAGGACCTTCTGGTTACAAGGCGAGCTCGTAGACCATTGAGACCATTAGAATTCAAGGACCATTGGATCGGGTCCCAGTGGCTCAATGGTCTACGAGCTCGCCTTGTAACCAGAAGGTCCTGGGTTCGAATCCCGGTGGGTGCGTACTGCTGAGGAGTCCCAAACTAGGACGAAACGGCTGTCCAGTACTCCCAGGTTTTCCAGTGGTTCTCTAACTGATGTCAGCTCATGATTAAATCCTCCATGCAATATAAAGCAATAATCTGTAGTACATCATTTGTTGTAGTGTTGCTCCATATAAAGAAAGAACCACTCCCATATATTTTCCCTTTAATTCATTCGTAAATTGTAAGGCATATAGGAGGGAAACTGATTCAACATACACGCGAGTTCATGTGTTGGCCATTTGATATAATTAAATGATTAGAACAATAAGAAGTGCCGAAGAGTGTAAGCTGCATTTTGATGGATGAAAACTGCGACAAAACAGCTCTGTCCAGTGATCTTGCGTCGTTTTTCATGTCTCTTTTTCAGTGTTATCAGTTTCTTTACTAAATTTACATTGAAGTGGATACTAATCCGTATAAACCCCTAAAATATGCATAAAGAGAGAAAGAAAGTGTTGCAAGAGTCATGACTTCTCATGCTGTCACTTTATTTGTACAAGTATGTACTTATTCCTTTAGTTTCTTTTTGATTTACATTCGTCCATTAAATTCTGAACAAATATTCCATATGATATTATCTATTTTCTTGTTATACTGCTTCCTTGTTTGATTTATTCATACTTAGAAAAGATATATATATATATATATATATATATATATATATATATATATATATATATATATATATATATATATATATATATATATCAGTGAATGAATGCAGATACACATTTTAGGGCATATCCAGTAGAAATAAATGAAATAATAACAGTAATAATAATAATAGCTTCCAGACAAAATATTTAGACAGTGTACAGAATTTCGATAAAGAAAGGAAGACGAAATTTGCAGTATAAAATGATATCATTCTATTTCACAGGTTCTCATCAGCTGCAGACTACCTGAAATTACAATGGTTATATAGATGATAATAACATACTTTTATGTTCGAGTGGCGGTAGAAAAGAGATACTATAAAATTGATGCATCTAAATGAAAGCATTACAATGTTTTTAGTTTAAGTTTTCATCATCAATTTATACGCTTTTAAAGTTGAAAAGAGGAGGAAGGGTAAGAGAGAAAACAGAAAAAACGAAATTTATCAAGGGGACCAAATGTATGAAGTGTACAGAATTCTTAGCGTAATTTATTGCATAATATACAGTATGACTCTTTGATACCTCATTTCTGACTGATCTTCAAACAGTCATAAAACTTTGCAGAACCTGTCAGCTATGCTTATTATTTCAAGTTCAGATTTAATTGAGAAGTAGCCCGGAAGTGAGAAGTATATATATATATATAATAGAGAGGTGTTGGCTTTATGGTTGGAGTCTTCGGGATGTTAAGAACTAATCGCTGGACTCTGTTGGTGATGATCTTGCCGGAAATTTTCGTAAATGGTGCAGATGCCTTCACTCTTTGTGATCTCCCATACTCAATAAGTCCTCTTGTTTTTTCTTTCATGATACTATTCTTTCTAAACTACATTTCTGACTATTACAATCGTTTTAGATTTCTTTTTTTCTTTTATCCCTACTTCTGTGTGCTATATGGAGTGTAACAAGTTAAACTGCTGCACTTCTGTTCTAAGCTCTCTTTTGAAAACCCTAGCCTCACCCCATTAGTGAGCAATAAGAAAGTTGCTAACCTGCTTTTGGGTTTATTCTGTGTATGAAACTTCGGACAGCTTTGGTGTTATTATGCTACTTCAAACTGCCGATTCCAGTTGATGACAAGGTTCAAAATCAGTTCTGACAGTCCATATGTCTTATTTGGTAGATGAAGACTACCACTGAAGTCCAAAATGCACTCTGTATCCTATTTAGGGTTTGTTTGTTGGATCTACCGTTTATTCCCAGTGAGTGATGATGTTCCCGAAGAAATTCGAACCCATTACCAATCGTTTTAAACGCTAGTGTTATCTAATAGGCCATTTATTTTGTGGGAGCCACCTCTCATGCAATGGGTATCAGTCATTATTTGTTTAAATTAATTTCGTATTCCCCGTTCATCGAGTATTTCGGACCTAAGCGTGTGAAGAGGATTTGAAACAGTATGGACTAACATGGATGCAGGTGAAAAGTACAGCAAAAGACAGAAGCAAGTGGAGATGTGCAGTTGAGGCTTATGTTCCACAAGGAACCCAAGGGAACAATAATAATAATAAAGCGTTCATTGCAGATTGAAGGTACATTTAGTTAAAGGGGCACCCAAAAATAACGCAGACGTCGAAAGGAAAGAATAATTCTACAGGCAACAATGGACAATACTCCAGTTGGTGACATTAAAATACTAATGGGAGACATAAACGCCAGACTGGGACCAGACAACACTGGAATGGAACTCATCATGGGTAGAGAGGCTCTCGGAGAAATGAATGAAAATGGAGAACTCCTCGCCGACTTCTGCGCCTTCATAGGGGTCCTCGGGAATCTAAGAACCATTGGCTGAAGACCATGAGTGATATGATTCAAAATCGTTCTTAGTAATAATAGACCTCTGTTATCCATTCAATTCTCATGTTTTTCCGTTTTACTATTCTTTATTTCTCGCGCGCATTTCTGATGAGTTCTTTCGAATGTTTGTTTAATCTCCTTCCTCTTTTTGAAATGTGGTAAGCTGAACTTCACTTCTGTGAAGAGTTCATTGTTGAAAATTAGTCAATCAATCAACCAAAGCTGGAATTGTTGTCCTCTTTTTCGCATACAAGCGAGTTTTATTTGATTATCAGTGTTGTAATTCCATCATGTAATAATTTTTATTTGATAATATCTCTCACACCTACACACAAAAACAGTGATACAATAATATTTATATACGGATGACATCTTAAGCGTAATTTACTGTTCATAGTCATATTACATCAAGGCACTTAAAATATAACTTTCAAGCTTTGTCTGTGTATTTTTTATCAAAT